ATAAAAAAATTCAGATATTGAACTGATTTTTGGAAAATTGGACAGATAAATGCCCGATCGGACATAAAGTGTCCAAATAAATGAAAGTCATTCATTATTGTCTACTTAAGATAAAATTAGAAGTTAACTTCCGTATAAATAAAATCTTTAATTTCATGAATTAAATTATTTAGATTTATCTATATATATTACACATTAATGTGTTATTATATATTAACCACAGATGTCTATACTAAACCTATATCGCTAACTTCGGGCTTTGACATATGAAAAGCTGTGGCCAGCCGGATTTCCGCTTTCGGCCATGACACCTTACAATAAAATGGCGGCGATGCGTGTGTAGTGCGTGTATGTGATACCCGACGTGTATTAGTATTTGTGCGTACGTGATACCCGATATTTAAATTGTGAATTTAAATTTACCTTATTATAAATTATTATTGCTTATAATTAATTTATCTATTTATCTTTATTGAATTTTATTTTATTTAGTTTCTAATTTTTCATAATTTAAATTTATTTTTTGAATTGTGAATTTGTAATTGTGAAAATTCTGGAAAGATGCCGAGCAGTTGTTGCATTCCGAAATGCAAAAATACTACAAAAAATGGTTTTCATTTATTAGTTTTCATTTTATAAGTAAAATGCATTCATTTTTAATAAATATTCGAATTTTATAATATTTGAAGGTTATTTCAATAAAATATATATCATATAAAAATATATATCATATTTAAATGGTAAGAATGGTAAGATCAATTCATCAAAAAATGGTTCATTCAGTTTTTATTAAAAGTTCATTAAAAAATTGTAAATTTAATTGTAATTATAATTGTTATAATTGTATTACAGATTTCCTTTGAATCGTTCGGATATTTTAAAAATGTGGATCAATGCTATTGGAAGAAATAATTTTAAACCAACGAAAAGCCATTTAATCTGTAGTGCTCATTTTGTAGCTACAGATTTTATGGAAAGACCTAACGCAAGCGGCGTGCGTTTAAAAAATCTTGCTGTGCCTTCGATATTTTTTGAGGCTCCTGCTCCTACTATTACTCCGGATGTCACTACTTCTGCAATTGAGTCTGGCACTACTCCTGTTCCTGCTATGATCATGCCTATTTCATCGCTGAATAAAGAATCTGCCAGCACAAGTGCTATTGTTGATACCATTAAAATGAC